AATTATACATTTAGCTATCTGCATTGATTATTATAAACTTTTATTTTAATCATTTAAGTAAATATTTATTAAATTACTTCTCTACTAAACAAATTATTTAAGCATTTAATAAAACATTTATTTTAAGGTACTTCTAATGCTTTGAGTATGTATTTAATTTTGTCCCTTTTGTTCCTCCATATGGATGATGTGTGTTGCAGTGGAGCTTGGTCAGTACCAGTGGGTCGCGGCGCTGGCAGAGAAGTACTGTGACTTCGACATCCTGGTCCAGATGTGTGAGCAAACCGACAACCAGAACCGCCTGCAGCATTACATGGCCAAGTTCGCTGACCAGGTACAGAACTGGTACAGAACCAGCAGATACCAAACCAGAGAGTCCTTTATTAGTTAATATGGAACGGTTTGTAGTTGCGTTGAACAATAAAACACTCAGAAATGTCTTAATCCGTACATCATTGCCCACTTAATAATGTCTTCTTAAATGAGCTTTCTAAGAGTATATATGAATATATATATATAATTTTTTTTCTCTCTCTTTTGGAAATGAAAATGAACTCTGTCTGAAGAATGGCTCATTTCTGAAACAAACAACATCTAACGACAAACATTAAAAACCAAATCCTGCTCACGTGAACAAACTCTTCCTTTGTTTCGTTCTGTTTTTCTAGAACTTCTCTGACTTCCTGTTTCGTTGGTACATGGAGAAAGGGAAGCGTGGGAAGCTGCTGGCCCAACCCGCCGCGCAGCACCAGCAGCTGGCCAGCTTCCTGCAGTCTCACCAACACCTGAGCTGGCTGCACCACATCTGCATCAACGACTTCCAGAACGTATGGACACCAACACAAACCTGTTTAATCAACCAACTCTTTGATTTTAGCTAAGAACGGCGTTAATCTGGCTTTAAACGCATGTATGAACTTTGGTTTTCCAGTTTAAAAGAAGAAAAGATTATTTTTGCTAAATTTCAAGTCAAGTGAAAACGAGTTTGTAAATGAGTTTGTTTGGAAAAATGTGCTTACGTTCCTTCAATTAATAACCACATTAAGTTTTTGAAACTGTTTTCAGTGTTAGGATTCCAATATATTGGAATCAGTTCCTTGTTGAACATCAAGTTGTGTGAAAAGTACTGAACCATTATCAAGTTGATCATGTGCATTAAAATATTTCGAGAAGGTCACATTAAGTTCAGCTGTAGAAAAACCAAATATTCCAGACTTTATCAATCCAATCCGATTTATAACGTACATTTAAAAAATAAAATGTTTACCTTAAGTGCTGTGCAGTGGGACAGAAATCAAGACACTAAATAACAATAAAATAAAAACATTAAAAGCAAATAGGTAAACTTATGGTTATACTTATTAAATTTATTAAAGTTAATAGCTATAAACCTCAATGTTTTACAGTTTTACATCAGTGTCAGTATTTCACTTCCTAATACTTTTCAGACATATTGTTTATAAAAGCCCATCTAGAGATAAGTGCTTATGCTATAAGCACCTAAAAAGACAACAGATATTCTAAAACAGAAAACAGCAAATCAACGCACATTGTGTAAAATCCACTGCAAAGAAATTTATTTGTAAGAGAAACCTGAAACATCAATATGAGATGCTTCCCTGATTTTAATATTTTTGTGAGTAGCGTATATTTCACGTTATCTGTTGTTATAACTTGGCTCCCTGCAGGCCCACAGGACTCTCTACAGTCAAGCCAACAAAGAAACGCGATACTTTGTGAAGAGGAAGACTCTGCTGGCTCTCAGTAAGCTGACGGCGCTGGCCTCAGATCTGCCACAGGATGAGATCAGCAAACAAGTCGACGGTAAAAAAATAAATCCACCCTCATCAGACGGTTTTAGACTCTGTTTAGTTTTGACATCTCTGCTGTTCTGCGTTGTAATAAAATGCAGGGGAGATTGATGTGATGTTACTTTATGGTAACTTCTAAACTAATGTGAGCACAAATTAGATGGATCCTTAGCTGCAGGTTTTCATATTCTTCGTTTATGTTTCAGTTTCTGATAACAAGATAGATATTCAGTGTTGAATTGTTCATCTAAAATACCTTTCTGACTCTGTAAAGCATATTTACACAGTTATAAATATACATTTTATGCTTAAAACTTATGTTTGCTTGGAAAAGAAAAAGTGAAGATTTTTCATTTAACCACTTGAGCTTATTTTACACAGTAGTAGAAGTGCATTTAAAAGCATCTCTTTCGTGTATACTTGATTGTTGCAAAAAATGCTTATGCAGCTCAAAAAAACTTCTAAAATCAGCATATGAAAAGCTCTGCTCTTTCTGCTTATCAATACAGTATATGGCTAATTTGTTTATTTTATTTGTATATTTTTTTTGATAAGCTGATTATCAAAAAAAAAGCAAAAAAAGCAAAAGCAAAATGTACTTAGAATTTTTTATTTATTTTTTACAGAATTGGGATCAGACCTGAAATGCAAAATGCATATATTTTTTGTACAGTTTTGACTTAATTACTGCTCTGAATAAGTTGTTTTTTCAGCCAATTACCTTTTTTGAGTCTGTATTCTCCAATTAAAATCAATTACGAAGTAAGTTGACGAATATATCAATAATTAACAATAAACTGTTTCAGCCCTACTTTTACGGATTATTTTTCTGCATTTCTAGAGAGACAAACTGTAATAATAAAACACTGCAACCTTTTAAGCTGTAGCTGACAGCGCCATGTCTCTGCCTGACTCAGATATTGTGGAGCAGGAGCGCTTCCTGCTGCATCAGGAGACCCTGCCGAAGCGCCTCCTGGAGGAGAAAGAGCAGAACCCCGACACCATGCCTCTGCTCAGCGCTCACAACCTCATACAGGTGAAAATACAACACTGATCACACAACTGTCATCCAGGATCAGGTTCCTACCAGCTTTAAACTTTAAACAGAATAATCTGACCAGCTTCTGCCTCACTTTTGTTTTTATCAATTTGTTACACATATTGAATGTATACTTGATTTTGCTTCCACTTTTTTATTATTCACAAACAATTAATTGATTTACGACTAATGGTTTATTAGATTAAAATTAGTTCCAATAGATTGGCTATTTACGTCCGCTTATCCTTATTTCAGTGTTGTAATTTGACCGCCATCCCGCAGGGGGCGCCGCAGGTCATCCCGTTGGTACAGGAATTAAAATGGCGGCGGGGGCACATTATAACGGGAAAGAGAAACGGTCCAAGCTGAGTCCGTTGTGGGATGAAAAGTGCACTTTATGCGGTTCTTTTTTGAAATATTAGTCTTCGATAAGCTCCTTAGGTTTCGCCTTAATGGCTGCTACCAAGCCGAGGGTGTGATGAAAAGCGGTGGAGATGGCACAGAATGAAAGATGCACCTTGTACGGTTGTTTTGAAATAATTAATTTTCTTAATAGCGCTCATTCAGCCGAGCTTCATTACAGAGCAACGTCAACTTCGCATTTAAAAATCGCTGATGTGCGACGAAGGCGAGGATGTGATGAAAAGCTTTGAAGATATCGCAGAAAAATTGTAACATAACGGAAAAAAATATGATGCCAATAATCACGGTTGATTTTGCGGGGTGTTTTGAGCTAATGCACTTCATAGAGCGAAGTTCTTACATACATTCAAGAGCAACATTTGACGGTAAAGTATTTAATACTGAATATTAATAATATTCAGTATTTAATACTGAATATGCTTATTCAGTATTTAATACATTGGACACAAAATAATAATAAATGTTATTTGGTATTTTATGACAAAATGATCCCTTGATATATGGGAAGACAGTCGGCCCCTTTGATACAAGAGAAAACTTAGATTTTTCAGAAAATGGGTGCTTATCAACTAATTGTCCATGGATAAGATTGTTAACTTTAGATCAACTATCAAGCATCCCTATTCAACACTTTGTGTTGGTGTTATATAAATATTAAAGAAAATACACAACATTTTGTTTATTTTTATTGTGAGTAAACGTTCAAGACGCTTAAATTACTGTAACAGAGTGAAACAAAAGATCGCAAGTCAGAATGAAGCTCATATAACAGACTGGATCCAAAAATTGGATAAAAAATTGAAAACCATCTGTGGATGTTGAGACAGATGCACTTTATAGATATGAGTTGGCTCACAGAACTGTAGGAATCTGGTGTTATAGTTCTACTAAGTGTAATCCAGTTGGGGAAACACCAGATTATGAGAGATAATTTTCACAGATTAGCATTTCCCTCCCTCCAGCTGTACATCTGCGATGACAACAGGCAAGCCAACGAGTACGACTTCAAAAAAGCTCTGGACCTGCTGGAGTACATCAATGAGGTAACGTCCTGTTTCTGCTGGACCTCTGGGTGCCATTTTGAATCAGCAGTCATGTAAATGATTTTCTGTGATTTTGTTTCAGGAGGATTCTGTGGACATCGATTCTCTGAAATGTGAAATCTTAAGCAAAGCACTCAGGAGAGACGAGTAAGATCTTTATTTAGTTTAAATTATTGAGAGGTTAAATCAGAGGTTGTAGTTGGTGTTTGCTTTACTGACACCCACATAATGTAGAGTAAGATTTTTGTTCTTACTTTTTTTCACTTTTGTCCATTTGTTTTGAGTAACCAGAGCAACACCCAGCAGCATCTGATTAAACTCACAATAAATGATGCTTCATGAATGCAGAGCAGAGAGAAAGATACCAATTACTCAGTTATTCAGTTAACCAATTACACTTATAAAAATTGGCATATTGTGGATATTTCTTTTAAAATTTAACCCTTTTTTAATCATAGAAATGAATTAAAAGATGCAAAAAAAACAGATATTTTTAATAAGAAAAGCATTTAATTGTCTGAATTGCAATAACATAAAATATATTACAGCACAGATTATTTTTAGATTAACGTATGAATAAATAAATAGAATGAAAAGAAACTCTTGCATTATGGTCACAACTGCCTTCTACTGCCCTCTAGTGGTCATAGAGTTCTGTGTCGTTCTGTAAAATATTTCACAGAATGTGACTTTACCGCTGGTTTCTTTCAGCTGGTCCTCTGCCGATGGGAGCGACGATCCTCTGGAAGCAGCTAAAGACAGCATCTTTGTGAAAATCCTTCTTAAACTCATTCAAGAAGGTGAAACACATCAAGTTAGATTATTATTACAGTAAAATGGCAGAATCCTTACTTTGGATGTTGGGAACAAATCTAAACTCCTCATTGTTTTCTTTCTTTTCTCTTTCTCTCACTTTATTTCTTTCCCTCTTCTTTTTTCTCTTTTCTGTTTTCTTTCCCTTTTCTGTTTCCATCTTTCTCTTTTTTCTTTCAATTAAAAGTTTAACAGAACAAATACATGGGAAAGAAGCACAAATAAAAATGCAGCATTTTTACATGAAATGATTTGTAAAATAAACCAAAAGGTGTTTAAAAATGTATTAATTCTCCAGCCCATAAGTTTACATACAAAACTCTTACTCAAAATGGTAATTCACTACAGTAAATGCATATATCTCCATATCAGAGCTTAATGTGCAGACACACAGATTAGTATATATCAAATTTTTAAATAAGTTTGAACTGTTAATTATTTACTCCTTAATTGTTGAATTGTGCAATATTTTTACTTTGCTTAATTCCGTCTAAGCCAAGTAGCTAAGTAAAATCTTAAAGTTTTGTGTTAAACTTTCTGATTTAATCATGTTAAACTTACAGAGCAGCATTGGGTGGAATGTGTAGTTTTGATGCAAATATTCATAGATTAGAACAATCTAATGAATATATAAATTTGGTGTGAATCTGATCTTTTCCTGCTTTGAGCAGATTTCTTATAGATAAACCTTTAACTAAAACTCCTTTCCTTCCAGGTGTTCCTCTGCAGACTTACCTGCCTGATGTGAAAGAGCTGCTGGAACAGGACGAGCTGAGCACTTTGAAATCAAAGCCTTACTTTGAATTTGTCCTTCGAGCCAACTATGAACATTACTTTCAGGCTCAGATGTGATGACTGCTTTTTATTGCAGTTAAGCTTTCTGCACTTCTGTTTGGCTTTACACTCTAATAATGTTCAAGATTTGTATGAGTTTTGCTGTTTTTCTAAATAAATATGTTGGTAATTCTTGATTCTTTACTATTTTATTTATTTTATGTAAAAACACAACCTTTTATTTATTTATTAAACCATTATTTACAGAGAAGAGCATTGAAACTGACTTTTCTAAACTTTACTGATATTGTTCTTGCAGAATCAAAATTAACTAATAACATAATTAAGTAAAAATATTGTTTACTCAGTTTAACACAAGTTTAATATGTACAAAATGAGGTATGAAATGAGCTCTAAATGAAACGACATGATCTACTTTCATTGCTTCAAAAACAGTTTCCTTCTGGCTTCCAACTGTGAAAAAATTTTAAAAACTGGGCTAGCGGAGGCACAGCAGCTAAAGTAAAGTCTGATTTTAGGTGTCTGATTCTACAAAAAGGCCACATTTAAGCATCTTCACACAATAAACTGCCACTTAAGATAAACTTTAAGCAGTTTGTATATAGTTTAAACTTCAAAGGTGTGACAACACAGCCCTGATGTTTTCCAGTTCTGATTGTTTTGAGTTCATAGATCTGTTAAATAGTAAATAGACTTTATTTTGTGCTATATCAGTATTTCTAAACTTTTCGGACTCAAGTCTAGGAAGAAAGTGTTCTCTTTTTTTAGGAACATATGGAACAAACAAATTTAATGTTACATAGATTTTTTTAGGGCTTTATGTAAAAAAAAAATTTCAATTCTAAATAATTTTATGGGGAATCTACTTTATCTTAATATTAAATATTCCCAAGAAATTAAGATCCTGATGAGTCATTTGTCAGATTAAAAGTATCTCTTTAAAACTGCCTTTGGGTAGGTATTAGACATATTTTTGATTAAGCCCACATTTCTGTTTATAAAAATATTTTGTATTAGTCTGATGTAAGTGGAAAATGATTGTAGTTACCAGAAATGAAGGCTTTCAACAGATTGTTTCACTTAATGATGAAGTTCCTAAAATAAATGGACTATTCAATAATAGAATTTATTGAATTATAACTACTATTATAATTCAATCAATAGAAGTTTAGTGGAATGGCCGTCAGACGTGAGAACCTCCATCAGCGCAGCTGATCAGTTTTTTCATGGCGTATTTAAAACCCACACCGAGAGCACGCATGCGCTGTTTGGACTCTCGCTTTTCCATAGCATCATTTTTATCCGTTATCAAAACATCTTTACTTTGTATTCGTGAATTTGACCGAAAACGCACATTAAAAATTACGGAAGCTGCTGTTTATTCTTTCAAAATAAGCCTTTTGGTTCTGTAGCTCTGAATAAATTGAGCTGTAAGATTTCTGTACTCTATCAGCTTGTCTATTAAATGCTTTATTATGTAATCACTGCGTTTCAATTTTGCTAAAATCTTGTCTTAAACCAACTTTCTAGTCATGTTCGCTCGATGTGGCCGAGCTCAGGTTCATTTGAACTTTTATTGTGAAACCGGAAATGGAAGTTAAGTTATTGTTGCTAACTTGACCAGTTCAGCACCTGTTCTATAGCTGTCAGTCTGCGGGGCGATGCTGGCCGTCTGAATCCGAACTGAACGCACACAGACGGGATCTCTGTGGTAAGTTAACACGGCAGAATCATCTGTCCTGTCTGGAGCCGTCAGTTTTAATAATAAACAGAGGCTAACCTAGCTGCAGACAGGAAGGCTGTCAACGTTGCTACCGTTTATTTCACTCGGTTATTCGGTGCAAAAATGTAATTCACCCTCTTCATTGCGCTTTTTATTTTTTTGCACTCACCGTTTTAAAACGGTAACAAACGTTGACCCGGTTTTTAGCTTTGGATCAAAGAATTAATCTTCAATTAATTATTCATTTTCTCACCATAAATATATTGCAGGTAATTTTAAGAGTCTGCTTAGTAGAGTCGGGGCAGGCGGGAGGTGTGTGTTAATGGTTCTGGTGGATGAGTGGCCCAGTAAAGGTGTAGTAAGCCTCAATCCGCCTCCGTTTAGTAGCTAATCTGTTTTGGATGGAGAGGTGGGCGGGGCTTGCAGGTAGCGCGCGCGCCCCTCTGTGGAAACGTCATCAGATTCTGACCGTTGATCCAGAACCAGAGCACCGTGTTCCAGCATTTATCAACTTCATTTACCCCAATGTTGCGTCTATTTCCCCCGTCAGTTCAAATGCAGACGCCAGTCGACTGTAGAGGTGTGGTGGACCGCAATAAAAGACTAACTGTTCCTATTTTATTTAACTAAAAAGGTTCTGCTAGCGTGGTTTACAGCAGAAATTGTGACGACGATAGACTTCAAGCCATAAATTTAAATGTACCCAAAGATGGGTCGAGTACCCCCCGCCTTCCCAATTTTTTTTTACATAAATAAGAGTAGCACTACTTTAACTTTATATTTTTTTCTCAAGTAAAAGGAAAAACTGTTCAAGAAATTACTCAAGAATAAAATAAAAATACGTTAAAATGCTACTCATGTACTGAGTAACTGCATAATAGGCCTTTATAGGTAGAAAAAGGCTTAATTTGAACTTGCTGTCTCTCACAAAAGCAGTGAATTTCCACACAAAAGTAGCTCAGAAATTTTGTAGAAAACACCTAAACATTTCTGAGTGAAAATGTGGGGGATTTTTTGCTAGAAAAAAAAAACACAAAAACTTTGAGATTAATCTCAGAAAAGTTCAGATGTTTGAAACGGACAAATTTCCAACTTTTTTAAAGTTTGTTTTAAGGTTATTCATAGCAAATATTTTGACTTTTCAAACTGGGAAAGATTTTTAGAAAATTTTGGGGATTAATCTCAATATTTCTGAATTTTCTTTTCTTGCAGATTTTCAATTTTTGAAACTCAGAAGTTACTCTTTTTGTTTCTATCTACAATGGCCCTAATATGCCGCCGTAGAGTAATATCTGATTTAATATTTAAAAATGATTTCATCAGACACAAAGATATCTCCCAGTTTTGGTCATTTAAAGACTAAAACAAAAACATATTACAAAATAATAGATTCAGACAGAAGCACTTTCCAAATCATAAAAAAAATGTTTGAAACCAATACTTAGTCTATAATGCGTATTTTATGTCAGAAGAAGTACTTCCAGTGCACGCATTTAGCTTTTTCCTCATTCAGTGTAGTTACAGGTAGATTATGCCAAGTTTACTGAAGTAAGAGTAGCAATACCTTATAAAAAAACATTGCTCAAGTAAAAATAAAAAGGACATGATAGTAAAACTACTTCTAAGAGTATTTTTTTCCCCAAAATTTTTCACAAGAAACTTTTTTTCTCACTGTCTGAATATTAAATCAAACCAAATAGACCCATATCTGTTTGACACAATGAAAACTTAAAATAAATCAGCAAAAATATCAGCAGGAAAAGTCTGGTTCATCCTTAGGAAGAGTTTCCAGATGCATGAAGGTTCATTGTTCATCAGTTCATGATGGGAATGTCTAACCATCTACCATCTCAGGAAGGAAACGGGTTCTGTGTCCCAGACATGAACGTGTTTTGGTCCAAAATGTGCAAATGGACTCAGACCTCCATTTTTGGCGACATGTTTCATAGTTTGATGATAACACAGTGACCATTCTAAACTTTGGAGGAATAAAGTGGATACTTGGTAGCACCACCCCAACTGTGAGGTTGAATAGCTCTGAGCTCTGAGGTTTTTCCTTTTGTCTAAATTTCCAGGATTATTGCTTCCAATAAGACTGGATACCCAGAACCATGGTGACCAAGAAGGTCAGGACAGAATATATGAAGAAGTTCAGGGATCCCAAATGGGAGACGTTCTCTAAATGCTACGAGGATTCTCTGAAATACCGCCTGACCCGGCGAGTGATGGAGCATTCCCACAAGCCGTGGATCTGGGAGGGCTGGGAGACGGCTTCCAACTCCAGCGGCTGGTCCACTCCGAGACTGTCCAGAAACAAGGTCGCTCCTCTGTCGCTGCCGCCGCCACCGCCGCTGCCACCCGCGTGCTCAGAGGTCAAACAGAAGCTGATGGAGGTGAAGACCAGTCTTGATTTGAAGCCAGAGGTCAAACAGACTGAAGAGGAAACGGGAGAAACTCCTGTTGTAGACGTTGCACCAACAGCAGGTTTGGAAACTGATTTCTTATGAAATTGACTGATTTATCTCTGTTTGGTAGTTTTGTCTGTGTTACTCAAATGAGGAAGAACCGATAAGATGTAACTTTGGATTTTCAGGCAGACACAAACCTATTACCCATTATGTTAGCTGTCGTAGACTTTTGTGCGTCCAGTTATGGAAACTAAGAAGAACACCTGCTGTAGCTTTAACAAGGATTTAAATGTTGAGTGATCTTAGCTCCTTACTGGTTCAAGGTTGTTTAGTTCAAATGAAACCACTTGGTTTTAAGCCCTAAACCAAACAGTGGTATCAGTAAAGTCTCTTTTCAAGCCTGCATTCAGTCTCCATGGTAACCGACTGCTGTTCAGTGGAGCCACGTCCTACTTATCTATCTACCATTCATCACCAAAGTCCTCCGTTATTTTTGAGTTTTTCTTTAATTAAAAGATTTTTTCTCATGTTTGTTTGAATCAGATGTTTTAGAAAATGGCCTAAACGGGCCTGGGACAGTTTCAGCATCCATACCTCCAGACACCAGCGGCCCCTCAGACGACACGGCGACAGACAACAGGCCCGACAGTTCGGATTCATCTGACGAGAAGCCGGTGAACCCAGCACCGAGACGACGCCACCGCTGCCGCACCCCTCGCTCTGTACCGGTGCAGCAGGACAGTTCCCTGGAAAAAAAACTAGTTGTGGTCCAAAAGCCACCGAGAGCCAAGAGCCAACCGGCAATAAGCAGCAAGGCGAACCGCAGACCGTCCAGCAGGATGGACTGGACCGAGAGACAACCAGAGGTAAACATACAGACAGCACTTTTAAATAACCATACGTTAAGTTCTTTGTTTGTATCCACTTTTAGCTGTGATTAACTTCCAGTTTTAGGTTTGGGGCTTTTATTTTGAAAGGATAACTTCCGGTTTCTATCTTAAGGAATGGCAGCTGAACAATGTAGCTCTTGGAATCACTTTGAAAACCATTCATATTCCTTCACTGTCTCACATTTTGTCACATTACAAACAAAAAGCACGGCGTATTATAAAGTGAAGGCAAATTGAAACATAAACAAAAATAAAAACAACTTTCACATTATTGTAGGGGCTGAATGCAAGGGCATGTTACACAGTATTATTTTTATCTGAAAATTTGGTCTGTCACAAATTTTCAGATAATTTCCAGAAGTTATTGCAATAAGCAATGATATTGTTGTTGTTTTGAGACAATTTTCAAGTAATATCATGGTAATAATCCCATAATAATGCAAGAACATATTCTCAAATGTTGATTAACTTTAAATGCAAATGGACATTTACAATTGGAACTGGAAGACACTTTAAATATCCAAAATAAATAAGAGAAAACAACAGAAACAACAAATATATTAATTATAAGGTCTCTATAAACAAATTGTCCTTCAAAAATGTGCTAGTTGAGAGCAGAACACCAGACTGAAGACTTTTATTGTCTAGGTTTTGGTAGAAAGAAAGAAAAGAAAACCAATAAATCATGCAAATGGAAATTATTGATATAATTTTACTTTATTATGCGGTTAATTGATTTATTGCGACAAGCCTTCTGAAAATATAAATTTCCTTCCACTTCCCAAACATGTGCCACTTTGGGTTTCACATAAAATCCCAGTAAAGTTGTTGAAGGTTTGAAGCCTTTATTTATTAATTTCTTTGCCTTTGGATCCTAAAGTTTGATATTTTTTTTAAACTTTAGCTTTTTTTTTTTTCTTTAAATTGTGTATTTACAGACTGACTGAGTGTATCTCCAGTGTTTTCTGTGCAGTTCTGTGGTTCAGATCTGCACATCTCTGGTTATGAATGAACTCCACAGTATCACTCTGATTTGATAATAATGTTGCTACAAAGTGTTGCTTCCTCTCAGCAACACTTTAGTAGAACAAGTTTAAAGTCTGAGGACACCTGAGATCCGGAGCGTTGTCACCAAACTCCCTGCACACATTAATAATAAAACACACAGTGTGAACTTTCCATCAACGAAGCCCTCTGGCTTTTTCCTCCCAGAGCAACATGTCTGCCGCCGGCGTCCAGACGCAGCCCGACAGACGCAGCTCCAATCTGGACCGTCGACGAGCCCGGTCGGCCGACCTGGAAAAGACGCGGCGGTCCCAGCTAACGATGGCTGCTGCTGACGACCGCTGGATGACAGAATACATGCGGTGCTTTTCTGCCCGGCTCAGGTAGAGGCCGGATCCATAAAGAACCCGCGTTTACCCAGCAGCGGACGAACATGAGGAGCTGCAGACTGTTCAGCTGATTGAGCAACAGGCTGGGCAGCAGGTTGACTCGGTGGTGAAGAAGTTAGCAGGAGAAACTAAAATTATTCAAACCCCTGGCAAAATACATAAAAGATACCAAAAGTTCCTTCTAACTGGAAGCAACGTTAGCAGAGCGTCCTCTCATCCTTAAATTCATTAATCGCGGGTCTTAAATTTTGTCTTGACAGGACTATTCAATCGCAATATATGTGGTTTATTTTTCTTCTATCAAATAAATGTTTGAGTTGCACAGACATTTTTATTCTATTCTGACTGTAGGCGTTGAGTAAGTTTACTCAATGCCTACAGTCGTTGAGTAATAATAAGCTAGCTAGTAATAAGCTAGCTTATTACTAGCGGTAATAAGCTAGCTTACTACCAGCTTAAGCTAGCTAGTAATAAGCTAGCTTATTACCAGCGGTAATAAGCTAGCTTATTACCAGCGGTAATAAGCTAGTAGTAAGCTTACTAGCTTATTTTGCATCTGTAATGGAGAAGCGTATGTTCGTTTTTGCCACTGGCTCACAACCCATATGATGCTACGTAAAGTTTGTGCATAAAAACAACAACACAGCACTACTACATTAAATATGCAACTTTCTTTTGTACATTTCTGTTCATAATGGTTATTAAAATGTCTTAAAAGCCTTAAATTTGAGTTGTTGAAATCTGCAGGAACCCAGATTAAGTCTTTTTTTACTTGAATCTGATAGAAAATCTCTGAATGGAGCTAAAAGTTAGGCTGGAGCTCATCACAACAGGATAATCATCAAAACACCAGGGAAAGTCAGGCTGAAAGCTGCTCAACAACCAGAATAAGAGCTTGACTGTAAATCAAGTCTTTTCTGTTAATCTTGGAGAAGATTATGAGTAATTTTGAAACGCAATTTTTAGTAAAACAAAATAAAAGCAGATCAATACTTCTGCATCTGAAATCTCCTGTCATCACTGTATCTAAACATTATCAATAAGAGTTAAAAAGACGATGTTTGCCAACAATTACTCAGCATAATCCTGCTTGCTTCTTCACTTCAGAGGCAGCTGAGATGTAATGTTGCATCAGTGAATCTCTGCTGCTGAGGATAAAACACCAGAGGCGTTTTCACCTGCAGAAAACAGAAATACTCTTGTGGTGTAGAAAAGTAAGAAATGAAAAGATCTCAGTGTAGCTGAGCAGGAACAGAAGTCAGATGCTGCAGATGCTTTCATGTCCTGTGTGGTTTTGCCTCGATGGCAGGGATTCAGTGAGCGCTAAGCTGCCCGCTCTGCACTGCGTCTGTGTGAGCCGCGAACAAGGATCTGGGATTTCATAGAAGCTTTTTTAAGCTTTCCAGTACAGACTTTGAGAAAGTGCTAACATGCTACTGTCTGAATGTGCAGGAACTCATTTCTCCAACCGCTGTACTTTAAATGAGCTTATAAAAAGTCGTTCCTGTTTTGTTTTAATTCAACTTTTCTCTCACTCAAAGGCAGCTGAGCTTTTCCAACTCTGAGGAAACAGAGAGGACCAAATTAGACTATTTTTGATATCCGGTTTATATTTTGGGAATAAGGACTTCTAGTTTAGAGGTTAATAAAGAACAGATAAATATAACTTATCATCTAAAATCTGTATTGTATTCTAACAGAAGATATATTTACGCTACGCTGGCCTTATAATTGCTAAATGAACCTCACTTTATTTAAAACTGGAGATAAGCTGTGGAGGTGGGCGGGTTTTATTTAGGTAAGATGCATCGAAAGGGGACGTCACGTAACATTTTATCAAATAATGCTTTATTTATCTGAAAGGGAAATTTAAATGATGTCGTAAAGAAATATCATCCGAGTATCTACAAAGAATCATTGGGGGTGGAGATGCTGTGAGCAGGAAGGATCTCAGGTAGCAGTCAGTCTTCCAACACATCTGAAGAGGCTTCTGACTGAAGACTCTTTATGTATAATAATACTTTATTTGTATAGCACCTTCTTAAACAAATGTTAAAGTGCTTTACATTTAAAATACAAATGAATACATGATAAATGACACAAAAGTATACCAAATCAATTAAAATACATGACAGTGAAATAATAAAAATACAAAAGCAATCCAAATATTAGAAGCCTTTCTATAAAAGTACATTTTAACTAATTTTAACAAATGATTTAAAAGATATTTAGATATTTGGAAGGACAAACTGGGAGACATTGCACAACTGTCATGACTTGCTAACTACTCAATATCCGGGCAGAAGAGATGATACTCAACAGTAAAATCTCCTGGCTGACACCATCAGTTATTGACAAGCACTGCTAATCCACCTCATTTGCTTTTGCCACTCCATTTTAAATCGGCGAGAGAGACGTTTGAACTTCTTTTCCTTCTCTCTTTTAACTCCTCTTGGATTTGGGGTCGTAGTTCAGGCACTACTTAAGCTTTTGAGAAGCTAATTAGCTGCTCCCAGTTGTAAAGAAAAACAAAAACCTTGTTGCCATGGTTACACATTATAACAACTGTCTGAAAATGAAAAAGTAAGAGCAAAAGAATCCTTCCAGCTGCACAGCATCTGAAACCAGACATGCAACGCCTCAACCCCAAAAAAAAAGAAAAAAAAAAGAAAAAGACAAATAAATGTCTACAAAATTAACAAACTGAGGTTAAAAGGGATTATAAATTTGAACATTTTCCTAAATTTAACAGGAATAAATCTCAAAAAGAAAACCTATTGTCTGGAAACCTGTGAAATTTTTCGTCACATCTTTAAGATAATTTATTCTTTTTTTAGTTCAAAAGAGAAGGGAAAAAGATGGATCATTGCTACTAGAGATGTGCTGATCAGGTTTTTTCCTGCCGATTCCGATTCCGATCACCCATGAGGGCCGATCACC